AATTGGTGAGGGCGGCCGTTTAGCTGGGCTTCGTAGTAACATAGATTTGGTCCTGGATGGTGTGGTTGTGGGGTTGAAGGGTGACTGAAAAATAGAGGCGCTCAATTTTCCCTTTTTGGGCGTGGATTTCAATGGTGAAATTTCTCTTGGATCAAGTCCTTCAGGGCGAGATATTGAGGCCGTAGGTTGCAAATGGGCACGACGCGGTGAATCCCTCATGGATTCCTTAAATGGTGAAGGAGGAAGTTTTCTTGCTGGCGATGCTAATATCATTGAAACGGAGGAAATGGCATCCGTGACGGAACGACAGAACAAAGGTTTCTCGCTCTGAGAGCCCTGAGTCGAAGAATGACTCTGCATGGATTTGTTAACAGGGGAGACAGAGTCGATCTTTTTAATTGCGGAATCGAATGGCCTACGCGGACTCGGTTTAATTGGAGATCCTTTGTAGCATGGTATCCGAGGTCGCGGTGAGCCAAGATTATCATCAGCACTATCTGTTGAACTGGCGGAGGATCCGGATTTGGCAATCTGAGTTGCTTTTTTTGGTGAAAGCGGCTCTTTCTTTTCCCCATCAGTCGTCAATTTTCGTTCACCGGTGGTTGTGGCGGTTCTTCGAATGGGTTTGCCTTTGATGCCCATTTGAATTTTATGATGTGGCTCAGCGACCGTCGAGGAAGGTATTGGGTGATTCTCTTTGTCGGATTCAGCGGCCATGTCCAGGAAAGTAACTTCCCTCCTCGGGGCTGATGTTACTCTTGTTTTCGCTTTAGCAGCGACTGAGGAAGCAGTTAGGGCAGCGGCTGAGATATATATTTTCTTGCTAGTGACTTTGCTTTTATCGTCTGCTACCACTGCAGTTGCCTTCCTCCGTCGTCTGATAGGGGCTTTTGCTGAGCTTTCAGTAACAAGTGGCCTGCAATTCCTAGATGTCGGTATGGTTTTTGGTCTTCCTGGTCTTTGATTTGGAAGCTCTAACTGCGCCAGCTCGTCGTCATCGTCATCGTCATCATCATAGTTTCCGACATTTCCTGACTCGTTGTTGTCCTTCCCTTTGGGGGCTTGAACCCTTTTTTTGGTCGTCCCAACAGCAGGTCTTATGATATTTTTAGGCATATTCAAAGAAGACGGCGCTTTTGGCGCTTTAGGTCTTGCCCTTACAGTCACAATGTCCATCTCATCATCGCTGGATTCTGGAGTCTCCTCTTGTACCTTCTTTCTTCCACGTTTGGCGGGCTGCTTCTTCGGTTCGCTGATATCTAAAGTTGTCGCGACACTTCCAGTTTTACTTCTCCCCTTTGGTTTTGCAGCTGTGGGAGCGGCGACTGTCTTTGTCCTCGGCCTGCCTCTTGTTGGCACTGTTGGCTTATCGGCTGTTGTCTCTTTCGCGAGCGCCTTCGTAGGTATGTCGGAAGCTTCCGTAACTCGGGCAGCTCTCGCACGGGTCATTCGTTTCGGAGGGGTGTCTGGCGTGGCAACCGCTGCTGTTTGGGGACTCATTATTACAGCCCTGATTATACCAATATTATATGGTGTGTTTGCAATAGATTATTTGGATTTGACAGAGCCCTGATAGCTTTCACATCCGATATCGTGAAGCTATGTTGCTGCGAATCCGACGACAGCAGAGCGACAGACAGGAGCCAATTGATAAAATAAAATAGAAAAAAAAAGGGTACGAAGTAAGTAAGCAATATAAGCTCCTATTAAATGCTAAGCCCGTATTAATGGCAAATGCGGGACTGGCTGGTCGCGGGTCTGTCTGGATGTCGGGGATGTCGAGATGCTGATGCTGAAACTGGATGTAGAAGAACAAAGAGCAAGGATCTTTGTTTGTTGTTTGTCAGCTTCTGGTTGTCAAGGACAACAGCTTACTTAAGGTTGCAATCCGCCCCAGAAGCGGACAAGTCAGGGCTAGGGCTGATACTAATCACGTGACACAACTGCGTCATTCCAGGCAGGAATGATCGGGGAACCGTTGCGGATATCTTTGGTATAAATAACTAACATCGTCCAACCACTGGGATGGAATGTGATGTATATGACAAAGCGAAGTCAAGAAGGACACAAAGGAGAAGGTTGCAAAGAGCAAATGGGGCGACGGCATGGATTAACTATATGGACAGATGTTTTAGGGAAAAAAGAAAAGCAGATATATACGTTGGGAAGTTACAGCACCACAATATTCCACCAACGTTCCACAAGTCCATTTTGGCAGCCTGACGAATACAATATATTTTATTCAAAAGGAACTTCCACGTCGATACATGGGATATATTTAGAAAAGCAGATTGACAACAAGTTAAATATAAAAGTAATCAATCCAACTGTGAAGAGTGAAGGAACTGGTATATCAACGCTATCACAAAGTCCTCCTCAGTATCGGAAAGAAGAAAAAAGAACAGAGATATTGATTTTTATATGAAATCAATGATGCCACTGCAAAAACACATAGTTCCACACACCAGCAACGACAAGGAGAGTTGGGATACTCGGGGTGATGCCAGCCGCCATGCTGGTGATCTTCAACGGTTCGAGCTGAATTCCGGGGGCATAGACTAGTGGAACAGAGCTATTGGTCTTTCCATCCCAACAATACGTGTTGAAGCACTTCCGGCAGGCTTCTGGAACTTCCGTGTTGGTGCGCTCAAAAGACCTGCTGAGCATGGCACAGCCAACGCAGGTGGGCCAGTTGGCGTCAACAGTACCATTTCCCATAGTGGCGACGTTGTATCCGTTCTGGATGATCGCATTCCGCTCAGTCGTGCTGTATTGCAAATCGAAAGTTGAGACGTTCGAGAAAAATATATAAGGTGCGTTGGGGATGTAGACCACCAGAGGAGAAGGCCCCGTCATGTTCGAGCTATTACACCCGAAGAAAGTGGGCCTCTTGTTAAGACCCAGATTGACGAACGTATTCACATCTGGGATTGCTGGGAACGCGGTGCCGTTGGCAACTTTGGAATTCAGGCTGCGCTGATACGTAGCGACGAGGGCGGTACCATTTGGCCAGTTGAATTCATTATCCGCTGAAGAGTCTACGGCAAAGATTACATCTACATGCCGCTCTGGTTGGATCAAAGGATGCAGTGGAATATTTTGCAGATCTTCCCCACCATCGACGACATTGAGAGATTTTTCCTTTGCGAAGGGGGATGTATTGTTAGAGTAATGATAAAAGGGATTGGGTTCGTATGCCGCAATATCGTTGTTGTTTCTTCCGATCGACTCGAGAATAGATCTCAGAGCGTCCTTGATGAATGTTGGAATGTCAACGCCGCTAAGGTTCAGTAAAAATTGGTTGAAGAGGGATGACGAGGTGCCCATGATATAACCCGCATTGTCAAACCCGCGCACACAAGATTCCGATTGAGGCAACGATCCTGCATCAAATTTCGATCCGAGGAACTCTAACGGAACAAAGCCAAAAACAGTTGGGTCGAAGGTGCCAAATTCAAAAGGGTTAAATTCGAATACCGTGGCGTTTCCTCCAATGAACAATTCCCCTGGATTTCTTCCGCCCGCAACAAGGATCGGGAACGGCATATCTCCATCTTTAAAACTCTGGCCGAGAGCAATCGAGGACCACGTGTAATTAAGTCCACCCTCGGGCCCATTGATGAGTTGGTACGATAATGCACGACCCCTAGACAAGGAAATTAGGTTGGTATTACTCTCCAAATAGTTATACAATCTGAGAAAGAATTCCCACGGGATGAAACCCACCAATAATCCGTAAGTGTAATGTCAAATCCCGCGTCTTTCTTCCCTTGCATTGCGTCGTTTATTTGCTGATAATAATCCACGGTGTTGAGAAGTTTGCTACCCTTTTCCATTGGGCCTTTAAATATAGACTCGCTAAACTCCCACACTGAACCTTCCTCATCAGCCACAAGCTGTGAGACAGTGGTGAAATTGTTAAGATAGAGCGATCCAACAAGCCATCCACCGCCGCTCAGACCAGCGAGATAGGTGGCTGACTGCAGAAGCCCACCAAGACGTCCAGGGCTTGTGGAATTGACTGTCCGGCTATCAAACGCCTTCAATGCCCCGCCGCCATTCATCAGAGCCCTGTACCCCCCACCCGAAACCGCAATTGCAACATTTGGCAGCGCAGAAACGTTTTGGGCAAATTTTTCAAGATATGATCTTGCTTCGAAGCCATCAATAGTGACGTGACCGAAGAAATCTTTCATCGCAGCGTTTGTTTTCTGCCTTCTCTCTTCTAGCCAACTTTTTTCATTTGGTGAAAGCGCCGCTGCGCTGCGCACCGTTGGACGGTTACCGCTGCAGCTCACATAGGCAGGGGTGTATCCATCAGGAGCGTTTGGGAGGGCCCGCACCGCTACATCTCGAATAGGTCCATACGCCGCAGAAACAGTCGATGCTGGAAATCCATCTAGTCAGCATCTTATCCAGAGGATCTAATATGCAGATGGCTGCAATCAGCTGGCATAATGATTATGGCAAAACTAACCTGAAACTGTTGCTACAACGAGGGCACTGCATAGTGTTGCTAGGTCCGATCGCATCCTCTTTTGACTCGTACATTCAGAAATACAGATCAAACAAAAATATGATTAGTTGGAAGACAAACTCCGAGAAGGGAGGGGAAGTTTATCTTATTCCAAGGCCTATTATTTTAAATCCGAAACTGTGAAACAACAATTTGGGAATTAACCACAGTTATAAACACGAGCACGTCTGCCCACAAACCCATAAAACCAGTGTGGAGTTTTCCCACACGTCCAAGCAGCAAGTTCAACTGGCAGCTCCCTCTCCTCCAAAGATGAACGCATGTTTAGTGGGAAATGTGGCTGAGATCCTTCCCAGCCTTCGAGAGTTAAAGCTTTGTCTAGCCTGTAGGGGTGCATATCTCGCAGCTTAGCAAAATGCTTGGTTCTGATGCAAAACCATTTTGAAAACCAGCAAAAGGAACCCAAGATTGTTGGGATGTCCCTCTAGCCTTGTGTTAGTTACTATCGCCAACACCAAACTAAATGAAGGATAGCGGAAGTGCCACATCAGCCCCTCGTGAAATGATGAATCGCCGCCTTATCCATGGAAGCCAAGGACTCACAGAAGGTAACATGTAGCCTTAATGAATGGCAGGAGTGACAGTCGCCAATCGTTAAAAACCTCTTTGGGTGAGACCCAAACCAGCGGCTGAAATGACAGGGGAATCCTTTTGATGGAAGACAATTAAGGCTTCGCAGTGGAGTAAATTGCTTGAAATGGAAATAAACTCGTCATAGATCGTGTGGCGGTTCGATCGCAGAAGCCATGGTCCATGGGTGTATGCTCAGATGTCCCATGCATGCCGATGTCCCATAGTTACCAATGTCCCACACCAATCAATGCTATGGACAGTTATGGGACGATGCATGTCGGAGTCCTTGGTATTTAATCATTGTTTACAAAGGTAAACTATGTATGTATACAGAGTACTACATACTTAGATAGGTTGAATTATGCCTCTCTCTGCATAAGAACAAATGTAATTTCTGCGCAACACACTTCTCTCACGCTGATCGGACCAACCGTCTGGAAAGTCGAAGAGAGTGCACCACTGAAATTTAGGCATACGAAATTGCAAAAAAGTGAGGGCTGGTGTGGCGGCCCGCCGGTGTCTCCGCAGTAATTAACGTCTTTCATGTTGGGTGGGCATGGATGCCCGGGCAGCTGCCCCGCCGCACGTGATATAGGCGTATATTAGTTAGCTAGCGCTCCCAACCAAGTGGAGAACTAACCCACATTTCATGTAATATTACCTCCCCATGTGATTATAATCCAGAGTGGTAAGCACCCATTACAACAACGACAGTTTTCAACCCGAATGCAAACCGACTTGGTTTTGGCTGCTTCAGCCATAGAAAATCAGCGATTGAGTCAGTGAGAAGCTGCCAGGATGTGATGCTTTCATTCAAGTCTACATGATTATATTACTGACCGTACAAATACCAGCTGCTCCTTTTATCCTCAAGTAGCACCTGGTACGGACGATTTCTTTTTTTCTTTTATAGTTACTTTGTTTTCTGGGCAGGACCATCAAAAACCACTCGTCCAACTCATCACGATAATGCCCATGGCAGCAAATACGCTGGAGGATTCAAGATATTACGATGAGGGCTCCCACTCTATCAACGCGGCTTGGTGGACATCTCAGCAGTAGCATGATGAGGCACACAACCCCCCTAAGCAATCGACTCTTCCCGGGATGAATTCATCCGTATTAAGCTATTCATATGGCAACGGGAATGTGGAATATACTGATGAGCTGGATTGGACCTTTCACCATTCTGCATGTCTGATTCTCAAACTGCTCTGTAGAGAAGATACAAGAAAGTCCTAGTTATGTAATAAATCAAAGAATTTCATAATGAACTCATGAAAAGCACCTTATTGTTCAGATGGAATTACATGAACAGATGCCCTTCATATAGCACAGCTTCTGTTCAGAAATTCACTGAATGACACCTGTCTCTGCCTCACATTTCCCTGACAACACACCAGGGGAAAAAAAACATACTTGCCTATTTCAAAACATCACCCGCTTAAAAGTCCTCTCCAACTTTCTTCACTTCTTCAACCTCAACATAGATGAATACTTATTTCAACTCTCTTCCCTACCGCCTTTCCAATCTTCTCATATCGCAACCTCACAATGGAGTGGACCAACAATTTGACCTGTAGCACCAATGGTGGCGGGGATGGTGACTGGGACGCTTCTGTGCCATGGTCCGTCCATAAGACTTTGGGTAGTTTTCAGCGGGCTGTAATTGGAGATCAGTCTTTCCCGTCTGCTAAGGCAAATGTTAATCCTAACCTGGGCGGCTGGTATCCCTTAGACGATCTTCAGATCTCCCTTGCCAGGTTCAGTACCCATGAAAAAAAGCTTGCTTTGCTTAGATAGTACTGACTCATTAATTTCCAACCAACAGTCTTTACCAAAACAAAAAATATACGGATTTGACTGTTGTCGCGGGTTCTGAAGCTTTCCAAGTCCACCGCTCCATCGTCTGTCCCCGTTCAGCATTCTTTGCAGCTGCCTGTGATGGCAATTTTCACGTAGGGACTCCCCGAAACAGCTAGCTTTTGGTATGGTCCCTAAACAAACCTAAAACTGACTTCGCAATCTCAGGAGGCATCTTCCGGTGTAATCAACCTAAACGAGGATCCAGTTTTAGTCCAAAAGATGATCGAATTTCTCTATACCCTGCAATACTCCATTCCAACGAGCGCCTCTGAGAGTTACGTCGAAGCTTCAGCTGCCGAAACAGCACCTGACAACGGAAAGCTAGCTACCAAGCAGCCCCAGCCAGAGCAGGTTGTCCACAAGGCAGCCAATACGAGCAAAAACAAAAATAGACACAAGAAAAAGATCAAAGATAAGGAAAAGGCAGCATACACCGAGCATTCAACCTCCAGTAAACAGGCCAGCGACAATTCCCCTTCGCACTGGGACCTAGTCTCGCTCCATATCATGATGTATGCTCTTGGGAACCGCCTGATGATCGAAGGCCTGAAGAGCTATGCAAAGGAGTTGTTTGAATGGAAACTGAATTCCCCAACCGGTTTAAAACAGATTCCAAGAGCCATTGCTGAGATTTACAGCAGCACCCCCGAACACGACCGTGAGCTGAAAGGTTTGGTAGTCGCGATTGCTGCAAAAAAAACTGCACGATCTCAGGCATGCGACACAGGAAAGTAAACACGTGTTGACTGACGAGTTCTTGAAGACGGTGCCTGCATTTATGTTAGACTTATTGGTTGTGTTGATGCATCAGAAGGTCAATTCTCCTATCCACCCTTCAATTGGATAGATATAGAGTTCTGAAGCGTGATTGTGGTTAGAACTGCAACGGAAACATGGAACAACATGAAATGTCCAATGAGCATTTCTTCACTGAGGGATTGGTTAATGATATATTTATTTACTCTTCTGACCTTCAAGGGTGGCTGGGCTATTTTATTTATTATGATGGAATGAGGGTTTCTAGGATTTTAAAATGATCTTCTCTTCTCGCTTTTGGCCACTCTATTAGCAGATAGAAACAAAAAATGAGACGATGGATTGTGAACTCTCAAGAAAATATAACTCACTCATTTTGTTTCAATATCTATATCGAAAAATCCAAGTGCCATTGAATATCGAAATTGCTTTAACAGATGAGTATCATGGGGGCACAAAGCGGAGTGAAAGCTCTAACTGAGAGTTATATCCAATTGTAATTTCATTAAAATGTAATCTGTCTCTGATCTCCGCAGCCTCTGCTTGGTGATCGATAGTACCCATCCGCACGCGGCGTCGTGAACAGCAATTACCTCGCGTTAACCTCTTTGACTTGGACTTCGGTTCAAGCTGTCGACGGCAATTCACTTCTCGGGATGACTACTTTGATGGTTTTTCCTTCTGCATCTCCGTCGTAGCAAACTAGGCGGATAGCTAGTTGTTTATCTCATTCCACATGAATCGCATATCTTTAAACGTTCAAGAATAGCAGGTTAACGACCTTGCCAACTTTCTGAGTACCAAGCAGAATAGTGAAAAAGGCAAAAGAAATTGATTGAAGAGCATAGTTAACCTTGTGCCACGGAGATCGCTAACTAGATAATACTGCCGCCAAACGCCGAGTCTAAACCCCAAATATTTTGGATATCGCCAAGCCACTAAAAGTCCAGCAAAGCCATGTCGTTGGTAGGTCTTAACTAAATAATAGGGGTGTGGAACCCTATTTGTGGTTAAAGCTTTAGTTAAAGAGGGGCGTTATTCCTCATTTTCACAAGGCCATATTAGTGTACCCTTCTATATATCTCCTGCGGGGCAGATTCTCCCTAAAGGCTTCTTACTCTATCCCTTCTTGGGATATTCTGGTGGACAGGTCTGACCTATCTCGTGGTCTTCCTGTCATTGTCCTCAGATCCACCAGCCCTGTTTCTCCAGCCCCGTTTCTCCAGCCCCCACAATTTGTCGTCTGCCATTTCTCAATCGGCAATTCCGCTGGGCCCGTCCTCATCCGGGCTGTTGGATAGAGTAATCTCCATACCTGTCATTCAGTTGTTGCACCAAAACTGGGTTGTTCCAATTATTCGGTCTCCCCATTAGGTGTTTATTCCCGGGCATCTAGTCGATGTCTCTACGGGTGACAGAACCTCAAATTCAAGGATCCCCGCTTATTACAGAGCAGTGACCTATTATTATTGCCAACGTGACAGAACATATATTTGCCCATCAAGTGAATCCAAACTGGCGACTGGCAGAGCACGCACCCTCCCGGGGTCGTCCTGGAGAGCATAACAGGCTGGGCTACTAATACCTCAATGCTCTGTACGGAGTATATCCTGCCTGTGCGCATGAAATGTGTATGAATAGTATGGATGAACAGAGTATGTGGTGTACCTTTCTTTAATCGGATACCTGGATGTTTGAGTTGATATTCGAATAGATTTGTTACAAACGGGGGAAAATGGAACGCTCGCTGCAGCCAACTTCCACACGACTCCGTAAAAATGATAGCGTCCCAGGGCGGGATGGCACCACTGATAATCATACCTCCACCTTTAGTACATACATGTGGACTACCTCGGACCACATCGATCTACATCCACAATTATCTTTACAAACTCTCTCCATTCCGGACTCCAAACTCGCCACGAAACCGTTTATATCCATTCTATTCGATATCCGAGATAGGTACTGTACATAGATAAATACAACAAGCTAGATCGATTTCTCCAAGAAAGGTTGTCTAGAACACTCATCCCCAACATACTCAATCACCCGTTTGGTGACTCTGATCCCCTCGCCAATCCGTCTTCGATATTCATTATCATCCAGCAGAGCTTCGTCATTCTACCTTTCTCCAAACGGCTCTCACCCCAACACTCACAGTATCAACAAAAAATCCCTACTAACTATTCCCTCTGCCTTACCCTTCATCCCGACAGCCCCTTTTCACATGTCTCAACTCTTCAATAACACGAAAGATGACACGCAAGCGGCAACATTCGTGACTCGAGGTTCCAGTAATCCTCCAACAAAAGAGATCAATCTTTTGAATTCTGACCAACAGAATAACTTCGAGGGCACTAAGAGCAGATTGCCTGAATTCCTCCTCACTGGCAAAGTTGTTGTTGTCTCTGGTGCTGCACGGGGGCTAGGGTTGACACAGGCTGAAGCCTTGCTAGAAGCTGGCGCTACAGGTGAGTTTCTTTAATTTCTTTTTCGTTTTCTTTTTTCTTTTTCTTTTTCATTTTCATTTTTTTTTTTTTTTTTTTTTTTTTTTCATTTCATTTCATTTCATTTCTTTTCTTTTTTCTTTTTCTTTTTCTTTTTTTTTTTCAATAAATTTATCAATGGTCCTAGCGAAGTGTTTTTGTTTTCATCAATTTCATATCTACTTCTTTTTTTGATCACTCCGGAGGACGTTTTCCTGCACCAAGGGGGATCGCTTTTGGTGTGGCAGCCGAACAAGGAAATACTGGAGTGTTGCATTGGATTGATTCGCTGGTTTGTGCTGGCTTTCGGATTCTAAATCGCGGAAGTTTCATTGTGGACCTATTCTCCTCGTTTTAACCAGTCCTTTTCTCTTATGCTCTTTCTGCGTTGGCTCAATGAGAGCTACAGGCTAATAATCAACAAATGGTAATGGCAGTCTACGCCCTTGACCGTCTTGAACAGCCTGTAAGTTCATACTTCTTTGCAACCACTGAGGTCCCGCCCATTCACACATATCCACGTTACCCAGGACATATAGTTGGGATCAAAGTATCCTAATTAAGCCAACCACTGAGCACAATCACTCACATATATACATACATACGTGTAGTCTCCCGATTTTTATCGCATCCAACGGCGTGCGGCTGAAGAGTTGGACACAAAACTTCATTACCGACGCATCGATGTTCGCGACACCGAAGGTCTGAACGACGTCATCAAGGAAATTGCAGCCCATGAAAACCGGATGGATGGTCTTATTGCCGCAGCGGGGATCCAGCAGGAATCCCCCGCATTGGAGTACACGGCCAAAGACGCCAATTTGATGTTTGAGATCAACATCACCGGCGTATTTATGACTTCGCAAGCTGTTGCGAAGCAGATGATCCGGTTTGGCAATGGCGGCAGTATTGTTATGATTGCGAGTATGAGTGGGTCTATTGCGAATAGGGTATGTGATTTCCATGTCAATTGCATATTGTTCTTGTCGGGTCTTTATTTATTTGTTTATTTATTTTCGTGATTTACTTCGGCCTAGCCGGAAAGACAGCCATCAAAATGTCTAAATAAGCCACTCATTTTCTCATTTCATTTCATTGCTTTTTTTCTTTTCTTTTTTTGTGGCTCCGGGTGTGATGCGAGAGAACATTCACATTTGCTACCCAACACTCGCTGTCATAAAATAGCCCCGTCAAATTTGCCCCTAAAATTACCCCACATGCAAACCTGTCAAAACAAGCCAATTCCTACTCAGATGACCCTAGTTAACTCACCACTAAAGCGATCACTAACTTAACCATAAAAATAAAACATATAGGGTCTGATCTGTCCTGCTTACAACGCCAGCAAAGCTGGTGTGATACAACTGGCTCGCAACCTTGCGTCGGAATGGGGCCAACATGGTATCCGTGTCAATACCATCTCACCTGGCTACATCGTCACCGCCATGGTCGAGGACCTATTCACACAGTACCCAGAGCGTAGGATCGAATGGCCTAAGCAGAACATGCTGAATCGGCTTAGCTCTCCTCAAGAGTACCGTGGTGCTGCGGTCTTTTTGATCAGTGATGCCAGCAGCTTTATGACGGGTAGCGATTTGAAGATGGATGGGGGTCATAGTTCGTGGTAAGGGGAAGGAGTCGGGGGATGCTGAGGGTTTTCGTCTCGTTTTGTTAGCTGGATGAAGAATGACTTTGGCCGGTGCTGTTGTGAAACTTGGATTGTCTTGTCTTATTGTGGGTTTTCCAATCCTTCCCTATTTTTATGATTGATATCTATTTCATGATGGGCTGTTCTTGTTTTTGTTATTAGCGGATCAGGTGTCGTTTCGTTCTTTTTCCTTCTAACTTCTGTTAACATACTGGCTCTTCATGTTTCTGTTTCGGGATATTTAATGGTTCAAGACACCGACCTGCCGCACATGCCATATATAATAATGTCAATATCCATTGGTGTCCGTATTTGGCTCTCAAGATTCTGGAAAACAGCACAGGATTATCGAAGGATTGGGCAACCCCACGTCACACAAAAGTGCACCCTGCGCTTTTCTATTGGAGACGATTTTCTGCATCGTATTATCCACACATGATAGCTAATACTAAAACAGAGCAATGCAGTCATGATAATCCATAGAGACCCAAATTGATCGTAAACTAAGTACGGGAAATCCAACCGCCTTTCAGCTTGACACGACTGAAAACAGGCATATTTCACCGCTGTTCATGCACAGAGCAGAAGATATATCCCATGCCTCTCATTGCGATTTTCAGTCCGAAAGATGCCCAGAGGCCTGATGTCTTACCACCCTATCCTGTATTTCGGTCCAACGGTTCATTGCGGCTGCTAGTCAACCAGTATCTTGCAAATATGTCCTCTTTGGTGCAGCGACGGTGTTTCGGATGGCTCAGTTCTTCTGCATTACGAAGGAATGGGAGCATGCCCCTGTCCCATTACGCTGGTAGCCTTGCAGAATGTAGCTGAGTATTTCCACTAAA